CAGCTCCCTGATGATTATGCTGTTGAGTATATTTTCCTATACCCGTTGATCATTTTTTGTGGCTTCTTTTGAAAAAATGTCTGTTCAAGACCTTTGCCCATTTTTTAATTGAATTATTTCATTGCGATGTTGAATTTTAATACCACATATTTAGATAGTAACTGTTTATCAAATATTTTCTCCTGTTTTGTAGTCAGTCTGACTCTTGACTATTTCCTTGACTATAGAGCTTTTATTCTGAAGCAGTCCAATGGGCCTATTTGTATTTTTGTTGCTTTCGTCCTTGAAATTCTGACCAGAAAAACCATCGCTATAACCAATGCCATGGCACTCCCCCGATGCATTTATCTAATACTTTTATAGAGTAAGAACTTATGCTTACATCTTCAGTCTATTTTTAGTGATTTTTTTTTTTTAAAGATTTATTTATTATGGGGTTGGGGATTTAGCTCAGTGGTAGAGCTTGCCTAGCGAGTGTAAGGCCCTGGGTTCGGTCCTCAGCTCCAGAAAAAAAAAAAAAAAAAAGATTTATTTATTATGTATACAGTGTTCTGCCTACATGCCAGAAGAGGGCACCAGATCTCATTACAGATGGTTGTGAGCTACCATGTGGTTGCTGGGAATTGAACTCAGGACCTCTGGAAGAGCAGTCAGTGCTCTTAACCCCTGAGCCATCTCTCCAGCCCTTTAGTTGATTTTTATACATAGTAAGATAAGGGTCTAACCTCATTCTTTTGCATGTGGTCATCCATTTTTTTCCACAGCCATTTATTGAAGAGACAGCTCATTCTCCACGTGCGTTCTTGGCTTCCTTGTCAAGTCATTTAACCATACCTGTGTAGGTTTATTTTGGGGGAGAGGGGGCGCTCTGTTCTTTTCCATTGGGTTATGCACTGTTTTATGTTAGCACCATGCTATTTTCATTGCTATGTCTTTGTAGTATATTTTGAAGTTAGATAGCAGTAATAACTCCAGTTTTGTTTCTATGCCCAGCATGTCTTCCTCTGGTGTGAGTGTTGTGGTTTCATGTACCTAGTAAGGTTGCTTTTATTTCTTAGAAGAACATCATCGGGAAAAACAGCACCGGGAATTTCATAGGATTACATTGAAGCTACGGATCATGGTGCAGACATGTTCAACTTTAGTCTTCCACTGCATGGAATTTGATTTCCTTAATTTCTCCTTTGGCTCATTAGTTGCTCAGGAATATAGTATGTGTACGTTTTTCGCACGTTTCTAAAATGCCTGGTTACTGGTATGTGAGGACTTCCTTCCGTGTGGCTCTGGTCATTCAGCAGATGTGTTGTCCCTTTGATTTCTTCTCAGCACATCCCGTGTGAGCAGGTGATGGTCCTCATTGGTGTCCTCTGTGTATCTACCAGACATCTGGACTTGTGCTCACCCGGAGGCTGTCAGCGGTCCTGTGAACTGCAGGCTGTTTTATAAGCCAGAGACACTCTGACACTTACAAAAACATCCTCTTCCTCCCACATTTTGTATTTTAATGCCACACCTGACATGTTTTGATATTGTGCATCTCTTAACCAATGGTGGTAAATGTTTAACATTTTAAGAGTGTTATCTTTAAACCTTTAAAGGGAAAGTAAATGGCAGCAACAGATCTACATACCACACGGCCGTGTTCTCGATTGGGTGTGTTGCTTACCTTCCCTGTGAGTTTTATGCTTTTGTGTCTTTCCTGGTTTCTAACTCCAGCTTGAAGAGCTGCCCACAGCATTTCCCGTGTCAGGTCTGTTGGAGATGACTCCTTCATCTCATGTTGGGAAAGCCTTTATCCTTTCTTCACTCTAGAACAGCTATTCTAGGGATGATAGTCTTGACTGGCAGATTGGGGGGACAGGGTGTTTGATCTTGGCCTTCTTGACCTCCAGAATTCCTAGTCTTAAATTGTCCCGTCTGTGAGATTCTGTTGTAGCAGCCTAAGACACTGGTTGTGAGGAGACTAAGACCCTGGTTGTGAGGGAATATGATTCTGGAAGGAGGCCCTTTCACTCTTAATTCTATCCAAATGTATCCTCTGTTGTTCAAATCTTAGATGGTCTTTTAATTTAAAAACAAAAACCCAGAGCCAGATATCAGGGTGAATGCTGAAAGTTCAGAGAAGCAGAGCAAGAAGCCCCAGCCAACCTCACCTGGCCAACTCCTCAGCTGATCCTGTTCCCATGAATCCTCAGACCGAAAGCCTGAGTCCTCACCCAAAAGCGTCTCAGCTGAACTGCTTTAGTTCCTGTTTCCTCACACCTTACATACCTTTCTCTGCCCTGCCGTCACTTCCTGGGGTTAAAGGCATGTGTGCTTCTCCGTACTGGGATTAAAGGTGTGTACCACCACCGCCTGGCTCTGTTTCCAGTGTGGCCTTGAACTCACAGAGATCCAGACAGATTTCTGCCTCCCAAGTGATAGGAAAAGGATATGTGCCATCACTGTCTGGCCTCGATGTCTAATCTAATGGCTGGCTCTGTCCTCTGATTCTCAGGCAAGCTTTATTAGGGTACACAACATATCACCACATTCCTCTGTTCTTTTTGCTGCGGTATTCTTGGCCTGTGTCCTGTGCTGGTCCATAAGACTGTACAGCCTTTTCCCTGAGTTCTAAGGTGGTGCTGGCCCACTCACTCTCCAACTGAAAGTGTAGTTCTTGCTGGCTCCATCCCCTCCATCCTCTCGAAAAGGGGATGATAATCTCCTTTGTGTTTATGATTTTCCAAGTCCATTACTGCCTTATCTTTCCTAAAGAATAGGCATTCCTTGTCATCCAATGTGAGTTAACTGGCAAATTAACACAGCAACAAAGTACATGTACCTTTCAGTGTGTGCGTGTGCGTGTGTGTGTGTGTGTGTGTGTGTGTGTGTGTGTGTGTGTGTGTACAATGTTTGTGTTACATAAAAGTATGTAAAGAAAGGATATGTTAGTCATATCCGTCTTTGGGTGTTAGAAGCAGAGCTCAGAGTGGTTTATGCAAAAGGGAAAACTAAAGCCATATAAAAGGATAGTGACATCGTGGCCTCAGGCTTAGCTGGTTCTAGTGATTTAAACTGTGGCTCCTTACCCATCATCTCCCCCTCTCAGCTCCCATTCTCATGGCCTCTGAGACAGCATCTATTGTATTCTTCCAAGTCCCTCCATGGGTCAGCGTTATGGCTACCACCCGCTGTTGGTTGTCAGTCAATCATTTGTCATTGCAAACATTTGCCTCAGGCACAGACAGCAGGACTTGCTGCTCATCAGTGAAGAAGTTAACTTTGGCACAGCTTCCCCAGAACTGTAGCAGTGTCTAAGTTACTCTTCTGTTGTTGCAGGAATACACCCTGACAAAAGCGCGTACAGAAGGGATTATTTTGGTGTAGGGTTCCAGAGCAGTATCGCTCACCCTGCTAGAGAAGACATGGCAGCAGGCAGGGAAGCTTGGGAGCAGGAGTCACAGCGAACAGGAAGTGGAACCAGCTGCAGGTCTCTGGATCCATACCCAGTGACTTCCTTCCTCCAGAGAGGCCCCACCTCCTCCGGGTTCCAAAGTCTTCCCCAACAGCGCCACCCTCTGGAGATGAAGCGTTCGAACGGGGTGCCTTCAGACCACAATTGAGCCAGTGAGGCAGCCCGTGGGTTGTAGAGGAGTATACAGCCCTGCTTGTGAAACGGAAACCATGGTTCCACGGGCTGCTTTAGGAAGCTGTTAAATGTCATCACCACAGATGTGATTTAACACTCAACTAATTTCTGCTCACTTAGTCAAATTGCTATAAACAAAGATAATCAAAGCTGGTATTTTTATTAAGAGTTTTTAAAGTTTGCACCCAGCAAGCCTGTACCTGCCTTATTAAATACAGATTTGTAGAGTGAATTGGTAGTTGTATTTATGGTGTATTAAAACAGTTTACTGCCATGATCCAGAAGTTTATAGTTCACTTTGGTTCTACCGGTCTCACTGGTATCCCACCTACATATCTATTCCTGTGTTTCTACAGGATGCTGATTAACAATGTCCAGTGAAGTGTTTCAGGAACCGTTGGTTTAGATGGGTGTGAATGTGACAGAGGCAATACTATGACCCCTGTGTGCTGTCAACACCAAGAAAGGCATAAAAGCCTCCCTGGCCATGCAGGGCATCCCTCAGGACCTCACAGCACCATTCCACAAGACTTGGTTGCAGAACTGCCATCTGTTTGACTTGTTGTTTGAACTTTAGTTACCACTGAGTCTGTTCTGAGTACAGGAGTCAGGACTTTAGCAACCTTATTGCATAATGAGGTCCATTTGCAGACTCCATTTCAGGATGGAAAGGCTGTAACAGCAGTATTGACCACAAAACAGCAAGGTCTGTGATTGTAGAACAAGTTGTAGCTGAACTTCAGAAAAGACACATGCTGGCAACCTGCCAGGACTCTGTCGGGGTCTGGTCATGTGCTCATGGGATAGTCCAGATGCAGCCTTCCATTAGGAAGTCCAAAGACCAGCATTCTGGCGTTTCTCAAAACCTACCTGTTCTATTCATTCAGTACTTATTAACCCAGGGTTTGTTCCGTTCCAGGGTATGCCTGGCAGTGACTTAACTCCATGTACCACTCAAAATCTGCTCAGTTTCAGCTCTAGTCTGCTTTTCCCCATGGGCAGAGAAAGGGCGATTCTACTTCAACTAAATTATCATTGTCAGGGGCTGGAGAGGTGGCTCGGGAGTTAGGAGCCCTGGCTGCTCTTCCAGAGGTCCTAAGTTCAATTCTTAGCACCCACATGGAGCACACAACCATCTATAACTATAGTCCAAGGGATCCAGTGCCCTCTTCTAGTGTGCATATGTACGTGCACACAAAATACCCATATACATAAAATATAGAAGTGATTTTTAATTAAATCATTGTAATGTTTAAAGGGGTCTTATCTGAATAATTTCCAGTAGATATCTTATACATGCTATCATTTTTTAAACTGTAGCAGCAAAGAAAGTTATCACATATTAAAAGTGATGAATGAAAGTCAGCTCTCAGAAAATTCACTTAATCTTTATTTTATTTTATTGCAGCTTATTAAGAATTTTACCAATAACTATTATCAATAACTACTACATATTATCTTTTTTCATATATTCAATTAAAAGTGTAATCCCTACAGTTTGCTTTCTTCCAAAAAGAAGTTCTGTTGCTGGTTAATTCTCTGGACATAAGAACAAGTGGGAAGTAGGGTGTTATCCCATAGCATTGTTGACCTCCAGGGTTGATTTGGGTGGCCCACTGTGCACTGGGTAGTCTTGGGATAGTCTTCAGATAGAAATGTCATGTGAAAAGAGTTATGTGGTCCTGTGACCTCTGCAGTTTTGTTTGGGCCATTGATGGCACTAATAAATTACAAATAACTTCTAGGGAGATGTTTAAATCGCTGTACTGACTCCAAAGCAGTACAGATCCTACTCTGAACTGAACACAGAGTGCTTTGGTATGTTGGTGGTTACATCACTTGGGCACTTGTCTCTTAAGCTGAAGGACCCCATGAAAGCTCTCTGAAGTATTTGGGTTTTGTTTTGTGTGTGTGTGTGTGTGTGTGTGTGTGTGTGTGTGTGTGTGTGTGTGTGTGTGTGTGTGTGTGTGTGTGTGTGTGTGTGTTTGAGACAGGGTTTCTCTGTGTAGCTTTGTGCCTTTTCTGGATCTCGCTCTGTAGACCAGGCTGGCCTGGAACTCACGAAGATCCACCTGCCTCTGCCTCCTGAGTGCTGGGATTAAAGGCGTGCGCCACCACCGCCCGGCCTCTGAAGTATTTGTAACCCTCAGCAAGAAAGACAGGAATGCCATTTGAAGATATAATATTTAAGAAGAAAGGGCAAGCCTTTCCTCACAGCACTGGAGGGGCAGAGTCAGGCAGATCCCTGAGGTCAAGGCCGGCCTGGTCTACAGAGAGAGTTCTAGGAACCTTGTCTTTAAAAGCAAAAAAAAAAAAAAGCCATATTAACTGGAAATGTTAAACATTAGCCTTTATTGAAAATAGCTAGAACCGGGTATGGTTGCATAAGCCTTTAATCCCAGCACTAGGGAGATAAGGGGAATCTGTGAATTCAAGGCTACATATCTAGTTCCTGGTCTACAGAGAGACCCTGTCTGGAGGGGGAGAGGGAGGGGGCAACCATGGCTTGAGATGTCTAGTCAAGGAGGGGAAATGGTCCAAGTGAAAAGAACATATTACAGAGTAAGATGTATAGTAAATGAGCAGAAAGAAATGCCTTCTCAGCGAGCATAGCTGTCTGCCACGGCGTTTGACATTTTAAGGGTATAGGTCACTCTAATCACCTGTGCTTGTGTCAGCAAAGACCAACAGAAAAAGACTAGAAGAATCAGAAACCAAGAGAACCCAAAGGGGAGTGTGACTGCCAAAAGCAGGAAAGGAGTCCAATGTAAGAACCAGAAATGCCCGTTGGATTTGGCAGTCAGCCCGGTGACCTTAAAAAGAACAAATTCAGTAGCTTGTTAAGGGCAAAGCATCTTGTGGCAGATTGAGAAAAGGGGAGTAAGGAAAACCTTCCAACACTTCATCCATCCTGATGCACTGAGTGGCTGTGTGTTCTCTTGGCCGGCAGTTCTGAAAAGTATAAAAGGGAAGCTTTTCAACCCTCCCCCTCGCCAAGTGCTGAGTTATTGCTAAACAAAGTACTACTCAGTGCTGCAGTTCATGCACATGCGTGTTGTGTGGATGAGAACTGCTCGGAACAGACAGGTCAGGTGATCCGGCCTTCGACACAGTATAAGCTTGTGTAAGAAAGAGTCGGTTCATTGCTTCTGCACTCGGGGAGTCGTGGCTCCCTGGACTGAAAGACTCGGGAGCCGTGAGGTCATATGGACATTTCTGCAGGATCAAACTGTTTTCTGTCAAAATGGAAGTCCTTCCACTTTGAGTGCCGGTTCTGGGCTCCACTTGCAATATCTTCCACCACAAAACTTTCAATTTTTATGACTGGAATCTCGAACGTCTTGTATCTCACGTGGATCCCCCAGTCGTGGCGGCAGTTCTGAATGGCACAGAATATTTTTGCTTTCTTCTCGAAACTATCGTAGGTCTTTGGTTTCGGGTGTGGCTTAGACACAAAGCGTTCCTTAAAAGCTTCTCCAAGCACGGTGTAATGGGATTGCTGAGAGGAAGAGATGGAACGTAAAAGAATGTTAAAAGCAGTCCGAAGCGACTTAAAAACTACTCAGCAGTCAAGGAGGAAGAGGGAGTGGCATCACCTTTATTTTACAGGTGGCAAAAGAAGGGACTAGAGACAGAGGCTCCTGCAGGCCAGAGGAGAATCCATTTACTGGGCTTTAAGCATGGGTGGGAGGAGGTGTAAGTGAGGTGGTACTGAGCACCCCCAGAAGAGGGAGAAACCTAGCTCTCTAACTCAGAAACAAAGGGGTAGTTGTTGAACACATGCAAAGTGCACGTTACCAGAGGCCAGAAAGGCACAGACCCAAGCATGGGGATGACCACCCACGGGTCAGTGTGTGTGAAGAGGCTCAGGAGCTGGACTGTCCCCAGGTCCTACCTATAGTTGACAAAGAGTGTACCCTACAGAAACAAGTGTGGGCCCAGCATCCAGTTCTCCAGGGAAATTGTCTAAAGGGGCCACTGTGAACTAGAAGCCTTTGAAATCGGAACTGAAAGTGCCTTTTACATCTAAAGAATCAGATTCAGAAAATGGATGTCACTGGTAGTATGCTTCTTGTTCAAATGGTCCCATATAACCCATCCCTAGCTAGTCCAGCCATTCACCACCCTCCATAGGTAGCAAGAATTCGTCTCTGGAGGTTTTACCGACCTTTAATTAAAAGCTTTAAGGGGGCCAGACGTGGTGGCACACACCTTTAAGTCCCAGCACTTGGGAGGCAGAGATAAATGGATCGCTGTGAGTTCAAGGCCAGCCTGGTCTACAGAGTGAGTTCCAGAACAGCCAGGGCAACACAGGAAAAACCCTGTCTTGAAAAACAGGCAAAAAGGAGGGGGAAAAAAAGTTCTCTGTCCAAAAACGAATTTTAGAAAACACAATAGGAATAAAGAATGTCTTTATCAGAATATGACATTTTTAGATACTTAGCCTTTAGTCTCTGTCTTTCTTGACAAAGATGGACCCCCCTCCATTGGTGGTCATGACAAAGGTGTTGCTGTGTATGTTGTTTGCAGCCATAAGGAAAGCATCTTTATAATTGTGTGTTCAGATTACTTCCCACTGTACCATTAGTTTGCTGGCAGGTTTCACTGTACCATGTGTGCTTCAAAACTGCAGCCTCAGCGTTTCCTTGGTATAGTTGTTGGCACACAGTAAAGGTGCAAAAATGGCTGGGGAGATTCTTGACTGCCTTAAACCAAGTCCCAAGGCCCACATTTATATTCATCCACACATTTGATAAAACTAAGAAATCAACACCAGTATGCTTCTTTCAATTACAGATTTTTATGCCTAATCCTTTATTTGTCCCAGGAGCTAATCAAGGACACAACACTGCATCTAGCATAACCTTCCTTTCCTTTCTTTTTTTGGAGGGGTGGGGGGGGGGGGGGGGGGCCCCGCGGTGTTGGGGGGTTGGTTGGTTGGTTGGTTTTTTGAGACAGGGTTTCTCTGTGTTGCTCTGGCTGTCCTGGAACTCACTTTGTAGACCAGGCTGGCCTCGAACACTCAAAGATCCACTTGCCTCTGCCTCCCAAGTACTGGGATTAAAGGCGTGCACCACCATGGCCCGGCATAGCATTCATTTTCTACAGCTGCATAAAAGAACTTTTGGAAAAAGTGATGGTGTGTGTACTTGTAGTCCCAGCACTGGGGAGGCCGAGACACAGAAGCTTCACAAGTTGAAGCCAGCCTGGTCTACATAGTGAGACTATCTTTCAAAAGAACTTTATTTTTTATCTAATTGACACACAATTGTTTGTATTTGTGGTGTGCCGTGTGATAATCTAAGCAAAGAACGATGATCTCATCAGAGTAATTAGCATTCCCTTCTGCCTGAACAGTTTCCATCTCTTCATGCTAGGAAGCTTTGAATTTCCCTCGTCTAATTTGTTATAAGAGTTGTAGTGAATTGGAAACAAAGCAGTACTCGTGGAACCCTAACCCTTACCATCCTGACTGTTTGGGGCCGCTGTAATCAGACCTCCCTCTACTCCCCGGCCTCTACCTCCACTGTTCTAGTTTGTGCTTCTGTAACATCAGCTTTCCTGGCTCCCACACAGAAGCAAGACTTTATTTCTCACTACAAGGACCATGGCCAACAGTGACAACAGAAGCACTAGCGTCCTTCTACAAACATTGCTCCAGGAGACGATAAGCTTGGACTGGCACTAAGGACGGCCAGGCTGCTCACCTCGACCACTCGGATGTCAGCTGTGTAGCATGCAAAGGTCTTGCACTTCCCACACAGCAGTTTCTTATTTTCTTTATCAGGGACAGGTGGTGGTTTGTGTTGACTATCTCTGATGAATTTTTCATCCAACTGTATATGGCGAACCTACATTCCAAAAGAAAAGTCTCTTGAGTGACCACAACTAGCACACGAAGATAAATGCACATGGTTGACCACAACACCCACACCCACATACACACACTCACTCAAATATAATTTCCAATGTGCATACAGTGCCGAGTTGTATGGTTTTGTTTGTGAAAGTCAGTCTCATAATTCCTTTGCTTCTCTTAACTCTGTAGTAGTCAGTGTTTAACTACATCTTCCATTAATCTTTCAGTGACTTTCACAGACAAACCTGTCAAACAGTCACATGAACCATGCTTTCTACTCTAGTGGTTTGCAAAACTTTAGAAAACCTTCACAAATAGACCTATCGTGTGGATGCTTCAGGCATAAACCAAAGGAATGGATCAAGAGGAGAAATAGCCCTCTATCTGAAACCTCTCCTCGAGCCCAGAAACATATTTCTGAATTCCAGTACGGTGTAATGCCTGCATGGTGCAGCTGTATTCTAACTCAGAATGCAGACTCTGGCGTACAGAAAGAACTGGGCATAATGAGAAAGCAAGTGAAAGATTATCAAGAGTGAGGAGAGGGCAGAGCAGCCAGAAACACTGGGGTCCCTGGAATAATGTGGTGGATCCCCTGGATTTTCTGTTCATCTGATATGCGCAGACTTGAGATTGAAGCAGCTGAGATCAGACATGCCAGAGGTAGAAACAAAGTCCCAAGAAAATCCTGTCATCCCTCAGCAAAGGACCGGAAAAGAGCAGCCTTGCAGACAAAATCTTCAGAGCCTACTGAACTGCTTTGCTCCCTGGGTAGAGAGGGCACTGTGGCCCAACCCCTCCCCACTGTGCCAGCACCAAGGGGGAACTAAGATTTCTACTTTACAAAGATACAATTAAGCCCCAGTTATCAGGATGGAGCCAGGGTCTTCAGCCTGTTGACAGGACTCATAAACCCCACTCTCCTACCCCACTTACCCACAGTCGAGTAAGACCCTATGAGGAGACAATTCCCCGCTTCCTCCCCTTGCTCCTCTCAGAGGCTGGACATCTGCTTCCACAGATGGTGACAAAGCAGTGGCCCTACCTCCAAACCAGAGCTAAGCCAGAAGCCAGCTAACACAGAAGACTACAAAGGTTCAGAGTGAAAATGTCTTAAGTTTCAAATGCCTCTTTTCGTATCATGAAACAGGAAGAGCTCACACTGAATGAAAAAGTAACAATCAATGATGCCAAGGCTGAAATAATAAGATTTGTGTGGTAAGGAATTTCACAGACAGGATGAAATGCTTCAGTGAACAATCACAGACATTTGATTATGGAAAAATATACAGGTTCGTTACAACCCAAACTTAAAGCTCAACAGAAGGGCTGGACTAGAGGGGACCAAGGAGCAATTTTGAACTAAAAACTGAAATAAATGTTGGAAAGATGGCTCAGCAGTTAATAACAAGCACTGGCTGCTCTTCCAGAGGCCCTGGGTCAGTTCCCAGCATCCACCTAGCAACTGACAACTCTATAACTTCAGTTCCAGGAGATCTGACACCCTTTTCTGGCTTCCTTAAGCACCAGGGAATGAGTACTTGGTGCACAGACTTAAATGCTGTAAACACATGCATGCATACACACACACACACACACACTATATATATATATATATATATATATATTGTATTTCTAAAACTAGAACAAACAAAATTGCCCCAAACAACACAAAGAAAATAAACTAAACAAACAAAAAAAAACAGACTCTTTGGGACATACGGCTACTGAAGAATTTTTTTACATTTAACACTTAATGCCATTAGAGTCCAGAAATGAAGTAGCAGGATTTGGAAAGCCAGATATCATGGCTGAACAATTCTGAAATGTGATGAGCAATAAGATCATAGATGCACAAAGCCAAATGAGCCCCAAACAGGATAATGTAAAGACATTCACTCCAAGGTGCATATAATAAACTTCTGGAAACACAAAATCTCAGAATAAAACAAAAAAACAAACAAACAAAAAACCACCACTCTCTCTCCAAAGGAAAGTCTGAATGCCAGCAGGCAGTCCTTAGAAGCCACACAAGCCAGAAGGAAGTTCTTCTGCATCTCAGATGCTAAAGAATTATCACTCTTGCCCATCAAACCTGCCTCTCACAAATGAAGGGCTATTCTCAGAAGAAGGAAATCCAAGACTTTACCACCATCACACTTACAATGAATATAGGTTAAAAAATAATCAGTGCATGACATTCCCAGCCTCCAGTCTTCATGCTGTCACACCTGAGATTTTCTTATTTCCTCACTGTATAGCCCTGGCTGGTCTGGATCTTGCTATGTAGACCAGGCTGGCCTCAAACTCGGAGATCTTCCTGCCTCTGAAGTTCTGGGATTTAAGGTATTTCCTACCATACCCAACCTCTTAGGTTTTTTTTTTTTTAAGTTTTGTAAATAAAATGGAGAGAGAAGTATGACTGGGTGTGGTGTCACAAAGCATCTGGATCTGGAAGTGGGAAGATCAAAAGTTCAAAGTCATCCTTGGCTACATAGTGAGTTTAAAGCTACCTGGGCTAAGTGGTGCCTCTATGGGGGGGGGGGGTGGAATGTCTTAGGGTTTCTGTTGCTGTGAAGAGACACCATGCCCACAGCAACTCTTATAAATGAAAACATTTAAGTGGGGTAGCTCGCTTAAAATTTCAGAGGTTCAGTCCATCATCATCATGGTGAGAAGCATGGTGGTATGCAGGCAGACATGGTGCTGGAGAGGTAGCTTATAGTCCTACATCTTGCAAGCAACAGGAAGTTGACTGAGACACTGGGTGGTATCCTGGGCATAGGAAACCTCAAAACCTGCCTTCATAGTAACACACTTCCTTCAACAAGGCTATACCTACTTCAACAAGACTACACCTCCTAATAGTGCCATTCTCTATGAGCAGCTTATGAGGGCCAGTTACATTCAAACTACCACATTGGGGTTATGTTCCTGTCTTCAAAAAAAGTTTGCACTGTTGTGAAAGAGTTATATGACATGTACTTAACTTATTCTTTGCTATAAATTAACTTTGGATAAATTTCTAGAAAAAATTTTAGGGTTACATGATTTACACATTCTTTTATAGGCAATTTTTGTTTTGTTTTTTGAGATACGGTTTCTCTGTGTAACAGCCCTAGCTGTTCTGGAACTCCCTTTGTAGACCAGGCTAGCCTCGAACTCACAGAGATCTGCCTGCCTCTACCTTCCAAGTGCTGGGATTAAGGGCATGAGCCACCACACCTGGCTCACTTTATGAGCAATTTTAATATTAACTTCCTTTTTTGTTGTTTTATTTTCTTGAGACCGGGTCTCTATAGATAGCCCTGGCTGGCCTGGAACTCACTATGTAGACCAGGCTGACTTTGAACTCAGAGATCTCTCTGCCTCCCAAATGTTGAGATTTAAAGGTGTGCACCACCATGCCCAAATTTTTAACTTCATTTTTTTTAAGATACAGATGAAGGTGAACAGAGAGATGGCTCAGTGGTTAAGAGCACTAATTGTTCTTCCCAGGTTTGATTCCCGGCACCTACATCGAAGCTCATAACTCTATACCAGGCGATCTGACACACTATTCTGACCTCTGAGAGCACCAGGCATGAACAGAGTTCACAGACATGCACGTAGGCAAAACACCCATACATATGAAAAATAAAATGAAAGATTAAAAGGTTCAGATCTACTCACTTTCTCCGTTAGGCTAGAGCTTGGGGGAACATGACAGGGAAGAGTAAACATGAACCTTCCCTTAGACATCCCATGTCTTTCACTCACTTATATGTAATGGCTTTTTTCATGTACTGCTGGTAATTGCTCCAAATTCTAATGAGTTAAATGTGTTACTACTAGAGTTAAGACTTTAAGGCAGACAGCAGCAACTAGTAGAGATGTCTCCAAGGCCCTGCCCAACCCAATCCCACACCTGTGGTTGAAAAGAAACGGCTGCACACACAGGCAGAATCGGTTTCTTCCTTCTGTATTGTAGGTTCCAAGGATCAAACTCAGGCCATCAAGCTTGGTGACAAGCACCCTTATCCACTGAGTGTGATGGCTAAATTTGTATTTTAAGTTTAAATGACTGTGCTTAAGAGAACAGTAAAGGCCGGGCGTGGTGGCGCACGCCTTTAATCCCAGCACTTGGGAGGCAGAGGCAGGCGGATCTTTGTGAGTTCGAGGCCAGCCTGGGCTACCAAGTGAGCTCCAGGAAA